GTCGCGGAAAAGCGACTACAATGAACTTTCTGTCTTTTTTACATATGAATTTCGAAAAACAACTGACGGTAAAATAGACGCTGCTAGTAACAATTGAGATCTTGCTATGATCGGCCACACAAATGTGATAATACATCTATAATTTTCATCTTTGCAAAATCGATAATTTTCTTGTTTTAAGAAAAATAGAAAGAGCTTCAATTATCCTGTTCTATTTATATCAAATATCCACACTATGCGTTTCGTTCTTGTTATTCACTTTTCTACATAATTTTGTCTTAATTCCAAACGTGATGTTGAAAGTTTGCTTTGCAGTATGCTTTAGCACGTGAGCTATCATATTTTTTAAATCTTGTATTAAAGGAAAACAAGTAAAGTATATAAGTTATAATTAAACTATTAAGAAACATCAATTAAATATCATTCAGTTATTACTGTTAACATAAGAATCTGTATATTATAGTGAATGCCGACAGCATTACTGGCTTTGTGGCTGTCGCAATCTCGCGGCGCGTTGTGTAAGCGATTTACACACGACAGAAAAATGCAACAGAAGATAAGTGATACGTGGCGTGGTACGTTCAATGGATCCCTTGTGAAGTGAATCATTCAAGATCAGTTTAATTCAGTAAGACTGAGCTAATTAAATATCAGCTGATTGAAGAATTAATGATTTTTAAGCTTTGTGGATAATTGAATTGTTTATAAATTTATGTACATATAAAATTCTTTACAGAATTATGCATTGTATAATAATATAGGGGGAATGGTGGCAATATGAGACACGAGGCACATTGAAATCTTCTCCCAGATTAGTAACATTGCAGCGCTGGCAACAATGTGGAGAATAGTGATGCTATACATAACATATGTAGTGATGTTTTGTTCATGTCATAGGTTTGTATCAACTGAATTTATTAAAATGTTTCTTCTTTTCCGGGTAAAGTAATATATTGTAGTATTTAAGTTTTTATTATTTTTATTTTTACTATTATGTTACGAATGATGTTACTATTATTAACATAATATCTACAGCTTCCTATGTATTACTTCATATTTACAATTAGAAGCAGGGTTGGGGAAGAAATGTTATAAAAGTATCTAGTTGCAGTTACAGTTTTGTCGCTAAAAATGTAACTAGTTACAGGTACAAGTTCTCAATTCTGAAAAGTAACGCGTTGCAGTTACATTTACTCAAAAAGTAACGAACGTTACTTTGCAGTTACTTTCTTGCAGTGAAAATAAAAATATCAAATATCAAAGTAACTATTAATGTAACTATTACATCAGTTACTAGCTACCGAAAGCTGTAACTGAATTAAGTTACAGTTAGAGATGGAGAGAAAGAAACGAAATTAACTGATCAGAAATTCTTCAGGGTCGCCAGCAAAAATTAACAACATCAAATTTGGTTGACCATATCTGGCAATTTTAATATGGCATTAAAATTGCCAGATATGGTCAACCAAATTTTATGTTGTTAACGAAATTAAGTTGGAGTTACCAACAATAACTAACTAAAACTGTAACTATAACTTTGTTACAAGGGTAACGGGTTACTTTCCAACCCTGTTTAGAAGTTTATATGTAGATTAATTGAAAGTGTTAATTCTTCTTTATTATATCTGAAAGGTATTTGTAGAGAACAATGAGACATGAACAGTGGAAGTACCGTGAGATGTCATATTGTGCTCCCAAAACTAATACCTTCAATTAATCTACATGATATCGCACCATCAAACATCTAGAAAGAATGCATCGTTAACTCTAACTTAACTTTGTTGCCGTAGTTAAAATTAATTTTCAATGCATTCTTCCCGGATGTTTAATGGTGAAATATCATATGCGTAATATAATGTTATAATAATCTTTTTCTATTTTGCATTTTGGTTTTTAAATTTAGCAAGGCTTTAGTAAATTTGGCAAAATTTAGATTTGTCATTGTGTAATTATATTACAAAGATATTTTGTTTTTTTAAACGTAAAGACATTAAGTACCTAGTGTATTTCAAATTGGATTTAGCAGTATCTATTTTACTCATTATACTATTATTGTGCCCTGTAGATGGGGCAAATGAGACAAAGTCGACGTTCTTTTCTTTTGCCTTTTTGAAGTTTTCTTAAACGTATCTTATCACAAACTATTATTTCCTTTAATAGAATGACGTTTACTCTTCAAAATGTACTGGTTAAAGAACCCATATCTCGTTGACAGAAAAAAGTTGATTAAAAATTGATGTAGTATCTCATAATGTCCCTAGCACCCTTATATCAATTTCAAGAAAACAGAACATTAAATTAAATATAGTACCATCAATATTAAATTAAGTATTAACAACAATATTAAATTTGTACCGTTTTTACATTTTTACTTGTTTTATCATTTGTTGCTTAATTATGCCTGTCTGCTTTTACATTTTATTCACTTTGATTTAGTAAGAAACATTTTCCCCGTAATTTAATGTAGTCGTCGAAGTTAAAGTAGAAGTCGAGTTTCTTTACAGTTTTCTGTGACCTCTTTTTTGTGACTGCTGTTTTCCAATAAAACCAATGCACGTGACACAACAGTACGATAGCCACTTTAGATATGCAGAGAATATGTAAAGTAGATTACATAAGTTAATGATACGAAATTGCAATTCATATTTGAGAAATGAATAGCTGCGTGAATATACTTAAGGGGCTCGTTACACATCTTTCAAATGTTTTGTTTGCATCATCAGCGCGCTGCGTGCTGTCTATACTGCATCGGTAAAGGCCTTCACACATAAAATTCCGTAAGGACGTAAAACGTAAGCGTAAGAAAATCAACAGGTTGGATTTGCTACTGCTTGCGTCATTGCCTTACGTTTTCGACTGTGATTGGTCGATTTTCTTATGCTTACGTTTTACGTCCTTACGGAATTTTATGTGTGAAGGCCTTAATCAAGAGGCGGAATACTTTGAGCAATGTCATAACTATGTAGATGCATTCGGGACTCTGTGTCAACGCTTAATGCGCTTCCTCTTGAAAAGGATAAACCGTCTAATATTTTCAAAAGTCTCTAGATGTTTGTCCAAACGGTATAATATCCACGATTGCAGTGTATTACGTTTGCAAGTAATATATTATTTGCAAATCATTCAATCGAAAGATATTTCAATGCTAACGTTATGTTTCGCGTCTTATTTACGATTCCAATGAAATGTCGAGGGATTAAATTTAACATACTCTGACAGATTAAAATTCTGCCGACATGCAAATAAGACGAATGCGAGAAATTTCTGGTATCGATTTCGTTTTCTCCGCTAAAGTGACTTCGCAAGATGTTTTCGATACACGTTTTGTTATTTATGTTTATAAACGCATAAAGATTATGTATTAATTTTAATTGTGCAATTTTAAATATACTTCTAGTTTTCACTATTTTTAGAAAATATATAATAATATAATATAATTTTATATTATATAATAATATTTAAAAAAATTATACATAATTCAGATAGTCTGAACAGAGATCTATCGATAGCTATTGCACCTGATATACGCCTCGTTCGTGACTCATGTGGGGGATTTCCTAAGTAAAATTCGCGCACATACGTGTGCACGTATGTATATTTTAATGAAAAATGGAAAAAAAACGATTGTTTTACTATTTATTCGACGCGCGCTTTGTTGACGCACCGCGTACGTTGCACATTGAAATAAGTCGCGATGCGATTTATAGCGAGTCGTAAGCTGAGACAAAAGAAGGAATAACACCAGATAGAAATAACACCAAGAGTTTAATGATTTTTATTCCTACGATGTCACGCTCTTCGACCTCTAAAGTGACATTTGAAAGTATAATACACAGACATACAAATGTAATTGTAAAAATTTGTATCTTACATTACTGTAAGAGATGCGTCTCTAAAGCGCAAAATAATGATGCCGGTGCTAATCTTTGGAGTTATACAAGAGAACAACTTCAGTGTTTTCTTGACCATATCTGGCATTTTTAATAATACAGAAAATCTCTCCAATTCGACCACTGATGCCCGTTTCTACCAATGCAGATTAACTTTAATCTCAGCTTAAATTACTTTTTGTCTTTTTCCAATTCGAACTAGAGAAAGATACAAAGCAAGTTGAACTGAGATTAAAGTTAAACTGCGTTGGTAGAAACGCGTATGAGTATAGGGCTGAGGTAATACTTTTCGCAATACATTTTCTGTATTATTAAAAATGCCAGATATGGTCAAGAAAACACTGAAGTTGTTAATTACTGCTGGCAACATTGAAGAATATTCTTCTTAGTTGATTATACAAAAGAATATTAAAAATATTAAGAGTACAAAGGATATTGCTTATTTTGAGAGATGAGATAAAACAGCATATTTACGAGTCTTTTTTATTCGTCGATAAATAATATCGAATTTTTTTTTAAGAAAGGAACACACCCCCAGTTCATGCTGAAGATAACTCTGGCTTTGCTGACGAAAAAGTACCCTGTAATGGAAATTTATCCAGGTTGTTATATATATATATATATATATATATATATTGTATATATGTTTTTTTTAGTTACCTAATACACATGTTGCATTCTGAACTGATACGTACCTTCTAAAGCATAATTTACATCTATTTTTATACGTCATAATGTTATATGAAATAAATTAATACAACTTTCTTGTAGCCACTATTATACGCAGTTGAAAAATTTGTGTTAAATTTAACAAATATCACTTGTCCCAAACGGTCCACACAAATTTTTGTGTTAATTTAACATAATATGGATATGTTAAATGATCACACTAATCTTACTTTCTGACGAAAAATTTTGGAAACCAAATATTGAATTAGTTAAAAAAATGTTCGGATGTGCGCTTATTTTTATCTTTTGACTCTATCTCATGGATGATGATGACTTGTCTATGAACTTTTTGTTTTCTTCTCTCTCTCTCTCTCTCTCTCTCTCTCTCTCTCTCTCTCTCTCTCTCTCTCTCACTAGATAACTAATTAATAATTTTATTCTCTTATATTTTGTTGATTTGCAGTATTGTTACTTAAAAAGGGTTACCTAAAGTAAGGTCGAAACGTTGTAACAAATTCAATAAAATTTGCCAATTGGGTTGACAATAAGCTCACTGTTTTAATTTTTAATCATCACTGGCGGCTATAAGTGACATTTTTCCTTTGTTAATAGTTTTACTTCTATTTTATGTGTATATGTTATTAAATATACCACAACAGTAGCTTTAATTTATTGTCAATATTTGTTTGCGTCTTGTAGAAAAAATATATCAATTGATTATTCTGACATCGATTGCCACAATTGCCAAATTGCTTAATATTAAAAAATTGTATTAAATCACCAAATCCACGACCTTATCCACGAATGAAGTTGCCTTGAGAAGTTCGTTGATTTCCAGCATTTTGCAACTTCAAGGTTCGTTGTTCCTGCGGCGGCGCGAAACAGGGTGACCTTGCTTGCGATCGCAACTCGGCGCGATCAAGGCCCCAGATTCTCCACTGCATCCGAGCCTTCTTTGCAGGTTCGTTTCCACGTTGGATCATTGGCTACCTAGATCTTGGACGGTGCAACACGCTTCCGCTGCAAAACACCAAGTTTCACAGTGCGGTGAATGTGACGCCGGTGGGGCGAAATTTTGGCTCGTCATCGGTTCCGCACTTCCAGAGGAGCGATGTGGTGGCAGTTCTATTACGTCCTGTTATACGTGCCAGTGTTGGCATCGGTTAGGATGTCCGCCCTCGATGGGCCCCTTTTGAAGCCCTTTCGTGCCATTCGAAATTGGACTTTCGATGCTTTCGGTATGTTAATCAGTAGTACGAAGGAAAGAATTTTTATTTTCCTCGCGGATTGCGTGACATTATTATTTTATTATAATGATATGTAGTTTTACAAAAACGACCTACGCTGGCCAATGTTTTTATTTAAAAAACAAACGACGTTTCGGTCCCGGATTTGGACACTTTTCAAGTAATCTGCAAACGTACATAACTTAGCACTAAATATTATTTTAAATATAAAGTAAAAAAAGGGGGTAATTATAGCGAAAGTAAATTTTAAATCTGTACCTGTTCACACAATTTTTACTGATCTCATATCTTTCGTTTGGCCAATATCATCATGTTAATAAGCTGTGTACAAGCAAGAGAGTCATTAGTCATTACACTATACGTTATTACGAATTAATAAATATCAAGAATGAATAAAGATAAATAAGAATAAATAAGAATAAATAGGAATAAATATGAAATAAATAAATAAATAAACTCACATATTAGTAAAAAAATTATTGCAATTTACTTTCGCTATAATTACCTTTTTACACCCCTCTTTTTATTTACTTTATATTGAAAAAATATTTAGTGCAAAGTTAAGTACGTTTGCAGATTACTTGAAATGGGTCCAAATCCGTAACCAAAACGTCGTTTGTTTTTTAGATAAAAACATTGGCCAGTGTAGGTCCCCATAGTAGCACAGTACATTGGTTAAATATTGGCCCAATACAATCAAATATTGGGCCAATGTTTAACCAATGTTTAGTCACTGCACTGTGCTACTAGGGTCGTTATTGAAAAACTACTAACTACATATCATTGGTTTTATCCTAGTGGCGATATTAAATCTATGATATTTGTGAGTTATTCTATTATAGTTCTGAAATTTGCATTTTCTCTTTCAATATAAAATTAAAATAGGTATAGACTTGATGTCCATTTATCGTCCACATTTTGTGATCTCATTAATCCGCACGATCCGCATCTTAATTGCCATCACGAAAGAATGCCAAAAATATATTTAAATTTTTTCATTTCGTACTTAGAAGGATTAGTTTTTTCAATGTCGCTTAACCTTAACCTTAGTTGAGTTCGTCCTTCGTCTCTTTCTAACTGTCCCCGTAGAAAGAGACAGAGATTGAGTTAAATTAAGGTTGAACGACATGGGGAAAAACCGGATCTTGCAGACACTCTACTACATGCAATTCCACATATAAAAGATTTTCAAACTTATTATAATAAATCTTAGGAAGCCAAAACTTTCGTTTATCAATCACTCCATCACTTTGTTATAATTTATACATATATAGCCACGAAGTGCGATTTGACTTACACAATCTTAACTTATACCCTGAAAAAAATCTCGCTTAAAAATACTAATGTATGCATATACATATTTCAGGAAGTCGCGGTTAACTTGGTTACCTACACATTGAATATGCGTATACATTGCATAATCCTGCATAGCCAACAAATTTTTCAGGCGTATCGATTCGCCTGTTTAAAATAGAATGTTTCTCGTTGCGAAAAATGCATTGTAAATTAGACTTTGTTGTTATCATGCAACCTTATTACTTAACAACCAGTATATCGTAATGTTTTATTAATGTAATTATGCAAGTAGTATCGTCATCATTTTATTGTATAAATAATCTGTATTGACTCATGGAGTCAATATACAAGAAATTGTGTTCTGTTATGTAAGGTTACTCTGAAAGACCGCGCACTAATTAGTAATTCATGAGCTACAGCTGCAGTTTCGTTTCAAATTAAAGTCGAAAAAATAACTTATCACGTTCCATGTTTAATCAAAAAAAAAAAAAAATGGTACTGCTCGCTTAAATAAATCTTCCCACTGAATTGTGTTGACAAATGTCTAACTTTTAAATACAGCCAGTTTCAGATGTCAAAGTAAGTTACACCTAATACTAGCGCCATGAAAATGTGAGCCGCGGAAACTAAGTTCACTACCTAATACATAGCATTGTTTGTTATTAAAAACTCAGTCGAAAAGTCCTCAACTATCTTTTTTAAATTGTTAAGCAAAGTCGAACGAATTAGCGCCAATCTTTAGCCGGGACATCAATGGATCGCGCGCCTAGTAATGTGTATCGCAAACTACAATACTAACATAAGCGCGCGGCTCACTGACGGCGCTCGGCTAAAGATCGGCGCTAATTCATTCGATTTTACTTAATAATAATTAATTAATTAAAAGACGCAATGTAGGGGGCAATAAGAGCCGGACGCTAGATATTAGGTGCGGATATAACAAATTTTATATTATTTATTTGAAATTAACAATGTCAAACGTTTCGACCAACTCATGTGGTACTTCTTAATGACGATCGCATATGAAAAAACCTATCGTGTCAACATATTATTATGTGTTACGATGACCCCAATTAGAGTATAAAAACAACTCAGCAATTACAAAAAGCTTGATCCATAAAATATTTACACGGATATTCTTCCTCAAGGCGTTCAAGTTTTTACAATTCAAATGTGCTAAACAACAGTTCACATGTGGAACACGATAAGTCCAGACGTTAAATGGAGCTAAAGCTTGTATGCATGCACTTGTCTAAATACGATCTTTCCTAAAACTTTTTCTAATAAAATTTGTGTGTATGCAAATTTTATGTGTTACTAGAAAACACAAGCGCGCGCCTGTATACAGTGTCTCACTACAATACGACTTTTCAAGAACGTATAATTCGCGTTGCAATAAATAAAATTCGAATGAAAGTTCATAAGTTCTTTTTTATTTGCGCAGATAGACACGCCATTTTTTTTTCAGTTTTTCTCACAGAAATTGCTTTAATAATACACGGAGAGAATGTCCTCTTAAAATTTATTTTGAAAATCATGTAATTGTGAGACAACATGGCATTTTAAAGAATCTTATGAGAGTTTTTTGAAATTTTACCATACGTTTTATTAGTAAAATGTAACCTAAGTATAATTATTAATAAAATGGTAAATAATATATTAAAATTAAAACAAATTTTCATAAAATTCTCCGAAATGCCGTGTTGTCCCACGATTACATGACTTTCAGGGTAAATTTTAAGATAAAATTCTCTCCGTGTATTCAATTATCGACAGACTGATAGAATCTATAACGATCTGTTTCTAAGTTTGATCAGAAAAAGTAATAATATGCGTACGCGTGTGTATGCGTATGACGTCTCAAGGAGCAGTTTCTTTCCGGTAAACGCAGCGAACAAATGTTACTCGCGTCTCCGCGATACTCCTTCCTATTTTGTTTAGCAGCTCTTCTGCATAATTCATTGTTCTGTCCGGTATAATTCGACGCACGTACCTCATTACATTTAGGATCGTATTATTCTGTACTTTATCATTATTTAGCGATGGTACGTCTGTTCGTTTTATAATAAAATATTTTTCATTGTTTATCGCAGCTAGTTGCCTTCACTGTTTTTTGTTTATGGCACAATTCGTGCAGTTGTAATCAGATCTAATCAGACCTAAAACGTTGAATTGTGCCGTAAATTTTATCCCTAAAAATGAATTTATGTCGTAACTAAAATAAAAACTAGTATGAAATGTTTTATTGAATTAACTAATTGCATAACATAAAATAATCATAACTAAAATATTATAATTAAAAATATCTACCTTCTGCCTTGACAGATTTCTTGAAATGATCAAGCTTGAATTTTCGCAGCAAAACAATAAGTATTCGACGCTACTTAAAAATATAGACGCAAACGTTTATTCTAAATCTCACAGAAATATCGAGACATTGAAAGCTGATTTGATGAAGGTAACAGCGTCAAAGTTCTACAGAAGTTACGAGAGTTCAAAACCGAATTATTAAAAAAAAACTATAAAGGTAAAAGATGAATTTTTTACTTTTTACTTACGATTATTTTTATATTGTAATTAAATTAATTCATTGCTTTATATATTTTAGTTATAAAATAATTTCATTTTTTGGGGGTAAAATGTTTGGCACAATAATACGTACTAATTTTTTAAACAAGAATTGTATATTAATTTTTCTAAATGTCACGCATAATTTATCAATCTTATAGGTAGAACAGGAACGGAGGAACGATATCTGCAAATGGCGAGAGATGCAAATAAAGTGCAAACACCCATTCCCGACTACGTTCCGTTTCCTTGTAATGTGGCAGGTAAAAAATACCTATTACCATTCTTTTTATTTTTTTGTCGACAATTTTCATCTTCTAGCCACAATTTTGTCTCTTTGTAATTGGCATAAATACACCTGCGTAAAAAATGCAGTTCTTAAAAATTATAAGGCTTTACATACCAAGTTATTAACTAAATTGTTATTAGAAAGATAATAGAAATGCGAAATGGCGTGTGTTTGAGAAGTACAATAACACTGACGATAAATTTCAGACGGTCGGTCGCCAAAAGTGCCAGAGTCGGTTCATAAGTTAAGACCAGGTGATATCGACGTGATCGCCGCGATGGGCGATTCTCTTACGGCTGGAGCCGGAATTTTTGCCAGCAACGTGTTGCAAGTTATCATAGAAAATAGAGGAGTCACTGCGACTGGCGGAGGCCAAGGCACGTGGAGAGAATATCTAACCGTTCCCAATATCATTAAGGTAAGACAATCAAGTCTTTCGATATTTATTATTGAACAAATCGCTGCGTGCAAGATGCAATATGAGAAACGGAGAAGATATTAGTGGCAGTCAATCACGGTTAAATCTCAATTAAATTTAATTAAAATGTTCTTTAACATATTTTTACAGCATGCTAAGTTGCATTAATGTAGAGTAATAATGCACAATTATAAATGTACTATTGAAGAATTAAATAGTTTTGCTATCATACGCATTTATAAACACATGTATATTTTAATTTTCGCATGTACGCTATCTGACAAACGTCTAAGCACATCTCTTAAAAGCGGTATTGCATTAGAAAGAAAGAAATCAAGTTGCGACATTTTAATTATCTTTACAAAAATGGAGAAACGTGGTTTGCACCAGAAACTGACGAAGGAAATCATGCTAGCAGCGAAAGGACTGGAATTCCTCAACATTGTCCTTGTCAACTTTTTAGCGCTTCGTTTAAGATCGTTCATTTTACGTCATCTATTTTCAGTACGTTCTCCCGGATCTAAATTGTATTATAACATAAAATTTTACTATGACATAAAACTATGTTTTTGTTATTTTGCGGTCAGAGGGCTAATTTTGGAAGCGTATTCAATTGTTCAATTTACAATTCAGACGAAAGCGCAGTGAATTTTGTCAAGTACACGGAAAGAATTTTCTCTTAAAATTTATTCTGAAAGTCATGTAAACAAGAGGCACCGTGGTTGCATTCAGGTTTCGACTATATAAAATTTATGATCGATTACGCAACATTTCATAAATTTCTCGACATAATCCATATTTATTACAGTATTTTGGAATAGCTAATTGTTTGCTCACAAAACTTCGAGTCGACTAAACTTCAGCTCGACATGTTTATATGCACAGAATATAAATGAGTAACTTAACAAATCGCCTTAGTTTATTCCATCGTAAATTTTGCGAGAGTTGCGTATAATGCACAATATATCATTATCAATTTTAAGATGCCATAATTCTCGGTACTGATAAAACAATGACAAGGCAATCGACATTTTCTCCGTAATACGTAATTCAGCACCTTTGGCTCTACGATTTAGAGAAACGTGACGAGCGCAGTAAGAATTGTTGCAACAGGATTTTAGCATAACATTAACATAACATCACATCCTTGGCCAATGTTGGATTGTCTTTTTAATGGACTTTCGACAATGATTACGTCCGATTTTCACGCGCGTCTCGTATTTTAGACATAAAAATTAAGCGTGTAAATTGCAATTAGCTACTTCTTTACTTCTAAAGCGAATTACCAGCATAATCATAGATCATTCCTGACTAATAGTAAATATCTACTATAGTGATATTTACGTTATATTTTTCTAAAATATACTCCTTCAAAGTTATATTATACTGTTGTGTAATAATTGTGTAATAGAAAAAAAATAGAGTTTTTTACACCAAGGATGCCGCGTGACTTCGCGAATTCGTAATTGGCGGGCGAGTACAATTCCCCGTGTACGGGATTTCACATTTTGTAAAATTCCTCTAAGATAGTTGGGTGTAATGTTAGAACCTTACTTTGTAAAATAAAATACCAGGATATTAAGCAATGCCGAGCGAAAGTTAATATAATTCAGGACGTTATATCGGTTAATGAGGTCATTATCATAATCATCATTGAGCAATATTTAAAATTATGACCTCTTACTCGCTCTCTAATTTCTTTCCTTACTTTAGTATGGATGTCTTTACCTAACCGAAAATTGTTCCCCCCTCTTAATCTTTTTTTTTATTAAATAATTCTAGAAAGTTTATGATCGGAATCACAATTTTGGTGATAAATTTTAACGATTTTGCGACAAAGTGAACAATAATTTGAAAAGTTTATGTGAAGACGGACACTAAGTGTAAAGCGTCGGCGTAAGAGAGCTACTTCCGGTTTAATAGAGCCTGGAGTAAGGGCGTAAGCGAAATGAATTATTTTTATTTCTTACGCCTACTCTTACTCTTACGCCTTTTCACGCATGCCTACAACACCTACTTCACCGTATTGTAGATTGAGTCGGCGTAAACAGTTTACGCCAAAAACGTTACTCCTACTCTTACTTCTTACTCCACGCTTACGCCGGTTATTGTAGACGACGCTTAAGTTAGATAAGAAAAGTTGTATATTTACCAGGGTTGGGAAAGTTACTTTATAAAAGTAACTCGTTACCGTTACCGTTACTAAAAAATGGGGGAGGGGAACGGGGTAACGCTAAAGACTAGCCTAACAATGTGTATGCGCGTGTGTAAATTAGTCACCCACAAATTTTCATTACATTAGGAATTCAACCCCAATTTGATAGGATACGCATTGGGAGACTCTTTGACGACACACAAGGCATCGCAATTGAATGTTGCCGAATCCGGTGCCGAGTCCGCGGATATGCCTTACATGGCGGAAATATTAATCAAGAGGATTAAAAATAATCCGAGGATAAATTTGCAGAAACATTGGAAGGTCTGTTGCGCTAGACAAACTCAATTTATTGCAAACAGCGTAGCATGTAATATGTCATGGACATATTTCATTGGAAAGATGTTAATTCTTATCACGCCTTAGATTTCAATTGATTTTTCTTGCGAAAAATTTAACGGAACTGTTTACCGTCTGTCACAATTTGTTTCGAGATTTTGATTAACATGTTGTATCTACAATAAAGTTATTTATTTCACTTTGCTGTCAAAAGTGTTGCATTCTTACTTATTGCACATATATTGATAATAATAAAATTTTTATTTGCAGTTTATTTCGCTGATGATCGGATCCAATGACTTTTGCAATGAATTGTGTTGGGATTCGTCTAGGTCAGTTCTTGAAAGTCACAAAGCTGATCTACTTCAAACTTTGCGGACGCTAAGAGACAATTTGCCGCGGACTTTCGTGGCACTGATTCTGCCACCACATTTAAAAGCCTTGGTCGACAGTCGTAATGGAAGACCATCGTTCCAGTGCTTTCTCACAACGGACTTCGAGTGCTCTTGTCTGTTTGGTCTCGTATATCGACGTTCTAGAGCCATGTATTATGACATTATACGACAGTAAGCATAATAATATAAAACGGGACAAAAATAATACAATAGCTGATAATTTAAGCACCGATTACTTCACATTATAGAAAATTATAACTGATATACAGGGTTGGGAAAGTTACTCTATAAAAGTGCCTAGTTATAGTTACAAGTTACCAATTCTGAAAAGTAACACGTTACAGTTACAGTTATTTAATAACGAATCGTTACTTTGCAGTTACTTTCTTGCGATGAAAATAAAAGTAACAAATTTGCATTTAAATTGCAAAGCGCCGATGGAGGTGTTTATGCATTAATGTAACGCAAGGCTTAATGCAGTCTGTGAAGGTTTAAAAATATATAAAGTAACTGTTAAATTAGTTATCGAAAAAATATAACTAAGTTACGGATGGAAAGAAAGTAACGAAGTTAAGTTAGAGTTACCAAGAAAAGTAACTATAACTGTAACTTCGTTACAAGTAACGAGTTATTTCCCAACCCTGCTGATATATCATAAGACTAATTGTAAGTTAAGAATGTGTGTTTAGCGATGTGAGACGTTAAAAATTAATTTTAGTTTTTCTCGACGAAAGTACAATATTATTGTGTCATTGGAGTTGATAGCAAAATTCAGATTGATTGAAACTCTGAAAATATATTTTAGGTGGCAGTTGCTAGAGATGGAAATCGCCGCTTATCCAGAATTTCAAAGAGATGACTTTGCAGTTGTAGCTCAGCCTCTCCTGATGAATTTAAGTCTACCAATTGCCTCAGACGGATATACCGATATGTCATATTTAAGCAGCGACTGTTTTCACATTACCCAAAAGACCAACGCTCTTTGTAAGCCTACTAAGAAGTTTCTCACAGGAGATTCGTTAATCAATACTTAAAGAATTAATCTTTCATATTTAAAGCGCATTTTGTACTTAACATTTTTTTATTTAAAACTTTCTTTAAATAAACCGTGTAAGATGCACTAAGATGCATAACCAATGCTTAAAGAATTAATCTTTTATATGCGCATTTTGTACTTAAAATTTTTTTTATTTAAAACTTTCTTTATATAAACCGTGTAAGATGCACTTTATCTCTGGCCTGGTATTTCGTAATATTATAATGATGCAACGATGTGAGATAATGCAATACCCGCCAGAATATTGTCCAAATATTAACCAGTTTGACCAGTTTGACCAGTTCGCGCGAAGTTTAGATTGCCCAATTGTAACGGTCATATTAGCATCGTGTTTCCGTTGACACAGCTTTTTTTTTAGTATGCAAAAGTTGCGTAAATATGATATAAGTAGTAAAACGTTTCATTCAAATAGAAGTAAACTAACTTCAAAGTACGCGTTAAGAATATTTTTAATATAATAATTTATATTATTACTCATTCGAAGCAGATTAAAAAAAGATTCAGAATATTTCTTTTATTTTTGCAGATGCAATCAGTTTATGGAACAACTTGTTGCAACCAGTAGGCGCCAAAGCGAAGAAGTGGGCCGACCACCTCCGTTGCCCAACGCCAGAGAGGCCCTATTTTACTACAATGTTAAATTCAAAGTAACAAGATGTTACTACTGAAACTGCCGTTGCGATTCGAAAGAGAATTATTGGCACTTAACAAAAGAGAAAGTATCGATAGCTTTATTGGGTCATCAATCATAGCCATGCCGCGAGCTTTAAACAGAGTCGCACTGACAATTATTTAAGCGTAGATAAAATATTACGATGCATTTATCAACCCTTTAAAGGACAGAAATGGAATGCGGACAGAAAATTATTGTATATCGTGTCAAGTTACAAGTCAATTATTCCACGATGGTGCAAAAGGTTAAGTGATATTAATCCGTCAAATACTTTACCATCTGCCACTTCTTATAGATTTAATGTAAATGTAAACTGTGCTCAATTTAGTTCAACTTCATATATTTAGGATTATATCGTAAACTGCAAGACACGTGTGATTGATGTAAATGTTATTTCTGCGAAATAGCTCAGAGAGAAATTTTTTAAATTAATATTTAAATAAGCTTCTCCCCCCCCCTCTCTCTCCCGCCCCCCCCCCTCTCTCTCTCTCTCTCTCTCTCTCTCTGTATGTGCATAATATGATATTTTAAACGGGTTTGAGGAGCAAAGTTTTATCGTAACATCGGCCGTAGTCTCTTGCTCGCTCTTACTCACGTACCTCGTCTACCGCATAGGAATACGAAAGAATGCACAGGGGAACCGTAAATATGTTCATCGCAAAAGTGGGGACCACATCGATGGGCACAGGAACGAGTCTTTCTTCGACACGCTCCATTCATGTTTAGTAGTGTCATCCGGTAGTACCGGCGAAGAGAATCGGCCTCTTTCGCGCAATTGACATCCGCAGATCGCGGGAATTTTACGTTTCGAAGGCAGCATAATTTGCTACAAATAATTCGGCGCGGCAGTTTGGTGCTTAGATAATTATCCAGCCGGCCTATCGTTTCCTGTGTGAAGAATGACACGGACAGTTTTTATGTAAAAGGAGGGAAATGTCAGTTATTGAGTCGAAAGCCTCGTGTGCCTTGGAAGGGCCCATTTTAGACGCGACAATTATATTCAGTGAAAAAAAAAATAATTAAGATGGAAGATAACGAGAGTTACATGGCGTGATGATTGATGGATCTCTTTACTGTAATGATGCGGAATAAGAAATCATCGGACAGCAAGGTATACTTACATATATATTTGTATATTTAGTATTTTCGGCCGCGCGCGCATGTGTGTGTATGTGTGTGTGCGTGCGTGCGTGTATGTATATGTGTAAATTAGCGTATATTGTAATATTAATAAGTAAATAAATTGAGTTTGTACAAAATATATTTCTTAAAATCATATTTAATTGTTAGAAAACCCGTGACATAATATCAAATATTATTAGAAACTTTTTAATTACATTTGATTCGCGGGAAAAGTATTTTAAATGTATGCGCGTGTCTTTCTATTGACAGTAAAAAGTTTCCCGCGCGCATGTGTGCGCGCGAATAACTCGATATTCTTGTGACGTTGTCCCCACTCATTTTTTTCGCATAACAAACGACAAATTGCATTTTCTACAGGTGCAAGGAATGATTTATGAAAATGCCCAGGGGGCTGGGACACGAACTTAGACACCAGCGAAAGTGTGTCTTACGGGATCTCTTAAGGGGATTCCGTAAAGCGACACTTTCAAAGTCTTTGTCTGAGGTGTCAAACACTTTTGGGTTTCACATTCTTGTGAAATTATGCGAAAACATTGTTTGTTGTTCATTGCCCTCTGTATTTCTGAGTAATTAAGTAAAGGCGATTTCTATTTCCGGTTTTTTTTTGCGAGAACAATCACTGTCGGTACATTATTATACACGGAGAGAATTTTCTCTTAAAATTTATCCTGAAAATTATGTAATCGTGGGACCACACGGTATTTCCAAAAGTTTTATGAGAGTTTTCGGAAATTTTACCACACATTTCACTAATAATTATACTTACTAGTAAAATGTATGGTAAAATTTAAAAAAAACTCATAATATGTAATCGTGGGACAACACAGCATTTTCAATTTTAAAATGCCGTCTTGTTCCACAATTACACAATTTTCAGGATAAAGTTTAAGAGAAAATTCTCTCCGTGTATAATTCATTTTATTATGTAAGCCAGAATGTGACGTAATTTAAAAAGAAATGCGAGTTTGTGCGCATTTAATCGAACGACAGGCTTAATTACGCAGGGCCAAACCGAATTTAACCGAAATACCGGAAGACGTTCACTTTCTCTGACTCGAAGATAACGAAGCTAACGGGCTACGAAGATCTGAGACTCACGACTGTTACAATACCGTCGTGAAAGAAAATTATGGTTTTTTTTATCTCGCTGATTTAATTACCGATTTAGTCCTGCGTTTTTGAATTTACAAAACGCTGTGCATCATACGGTCTATTCCAAACTAATCATATCGTCGATGTGAATAATACAGGAATAATCCATGTATATTGTCTATGTTCCTGGATTTACAAGAAAATTAAAAAAAGTAACAAAATAAATTTTTGTAATTTTAATTGACATTTTTATCGTTTTAAAATCTAATTAAAGACGTGAAACACAGTTTCGTTATAGATTGTTACTTGAAGAAAGTACATACAGAACAAGACCGCGCTTTATCTTATAAAAAAAACCTGTAGAATGTAAATCTTTTGCTCTTATATCTAACAGTGAAAATTGGTCAGGAAATTGTCTGTCGCTCGGAAGATTATGCGAGATTAGCTAAGCAACTCTCTATGTCGCGACGAGCGATCTCTGTTAAATAAACGGAGAATCTGGTCACGGGTTTATCGATATGATACTCTCTGTACGCTGTACGTGTGCGTAAATAATGATCCGCATGTGTACGTCAAAGTTTGCAGTTCTCTTCAGTCGGAGACGCGGAAGAGCTATTAGAGACGCTCGCATTGTAGGAGTGGAGGAAACGCGTCGATGGCGAGCGGAAGTCTCGTTCGACCAAGTCAAAGGCCGAACAAGATCCTCCAACATGGAATAATTGTCACTCGAAGTACAGGAAAGTCTGAGGGAAATTGAAAGGGGACTGTCTGTGGTAGCAAATTTTTTAAAAGCTCGCCAGACAGAATTATGAAAGTCGAAATCATTTATCTACTTTTGATCATCGTTGGCATCTATCCGGGCAAATGCGATCTTTTCATGGACTTTTTGCGCAGCGTTTTTCAAGAGGGAAGGGTAAGTTATTGTTAAAGATGGGCGGAATTAAAATTTCAGCCTGAATTTCATAGCGGCTGTCAATATATTCTTCTTTTTCTTCAAATCATTTCCCCGCGTCGTCATTTTTATATGGATATGTGTCTTATATAATTTTGCACACGGAGAGTACTTTCTCTTAAAACTTAGCCTGAAAATGTAATCGTGGGACAACGTGGCATTTTTAAGAACATTGTCCTATGATTTTACTAGTAATATGTGTACTAACAATAAGTATAATTACTAGTGAAATGTGTATGGTACAATTTCGCTAACAAGTATAAATTCAGGGTTGAGAAATGTATTGTACAAAAAAAGCAAAAACTTTATATAAGTAAAGAACGTTGCAGTTGTTCGTATGGAATGGAGAAGTATGCTAATATAAATTTACCCAGCTACATGCAAGGATAGAGGCTATCTCGATAATATTAATTTCCATAATTTCCGTAAACGGAAGTGAGAGTCATCGAACCTGCACTTGCTCGGCAATCTGACTGACAAGTAAGGGTTTTTCATTGCAAAAAGATTACCAAAAAGGTTTTAGCATGCAGGAAGCCGCCGTATGTCCGTGCCACGCGAGAAATCGCACGTGATTTGCGAGTCAAAGTCAGGCCTTGTTTTACGCGGACGTTTTGTAATTTCTCGCCCGATTGGTGGGTACATTGTCACGGGTAAAATATGAAGGCAATATTATTCCGTCAAACAGAATTCTCACGAGCTAATTCCACAGGAACCTGTGGAAAAGTAGTATCACGTACGACAGTCATTACTCTGGAAAAAGAGACAATTAGCAACCCATTTTGGGGCCCACAATTAGTAATCGAATTATTTGGATTGTTCGTAACTCTACTCTGGAAAAAATTGTGACCGTTTTTTTTTTGTAGTTAAGCAACTTAACATTTTCGTTAGTGCCTCTTAAGTGAAAATTATCTTTGCATTACTAAATATTGACAGAAGTAATTGAGAAAATTGATTAGTATTACTTAAAAATCTTGGATATAGATAGAACAGCTAATTGCGATTTTTAGTTACGCGAGGTAAAATTGGTAAAAGATTAGAGTTGCGAACAATCCAAATAATTCGATTACTAATTGTGGGTTCCAAAATGGGTTGTTAACTGTCTCTTTTTTTCCCAGAGTACGCGTTCCATATAGCATAACGTTATATAGTCCAGTATATAATGAACATCAGAATTATCAGTAAAGATCGCTAATAAAAATAAATTACGGCGTCATGAGTTTAACGTTACGTGATGGCGCGTACGCAATCCGAAAAGAAAAATGCTTTGCATTCCGAGCAATCGGAGAAAGGCCGGTACGTTTCTTTTCGTCGGTCTTGTGACCCGCGGAAAGACCTATCGTAGCGGATGTACTCCGGGCCGTTTTTTTTAACGCATTTAAGCTCCTACAAACTCGTTGCACTCTCTATACTACTTTCCAAATTTCCAATTCTTTATTTCGACATTTCGTAAGTGCCGCACTATCATTTCCTTCATGAAAATTCAACACGAAACAGACATTAAGAATTCATGGAGTGAAGTCCATCTAAAGACTTAAATTTTAATACTAAAAGTACTTTTAATCAATAAATTAATATAAAAAGACAAGAATAAAGGCTTATTGTCGCCAGTACAATAATTAACCAATGTAGAAAAATTGTTAAACGACGCAACTGGCAATTCTAATTAGAGAAAATTTATTGCGAGAAATATTACCTCAGCCAATTCGTCGAATTAACAATTTAATTTTAGAATTGTTCTCCTTTGTTTAATATAAAAAGATTGATTAAAATGTATCGTAGTAATATCGTGGCGAAACATATGTAATAATAGAAAATTACTAGTACAGACCGGTGTCTTAAAAGCTTGACAAACAAGCCATATCCGACTGCACAGTTAAAAGAGCCCTGAATATGTCGTGCCTTTTTCGGCCGATGGTATGACTGCGACAAATTGTATATATGTATATACGGATATATACGCCGGTATTTAAGTCACGATGCGACGCAGTGGAATGCAAATCGAAGAAAGCAAGAGTGTAGACGCGTGTCGAATGCTAAACGCGCTAATCGTCACCGGCGGCTTAAATACCCTCTCAGAAAAAAAAATCGCAGGTAAAAAGACTCGCGCTGCCTCGTAGGTGTATTCTTACAACTAAAATAATGTATTATGTACATATTTGCTAAGAGTGTTTGCAGAATTAGACCTGTTTAACTTGGCAAAGATATTTCCAAAATGTCAGTAACTAGTTTCGCACACCTTTTATCAATTGCAACAATTTTAAATTCCGTAACGATTTTAGCTATAAAGATTTAACGAAGTTTCAATCAGCCAGTGATCACTGGAAGTGATTATTTGTTACTTTTTACACTGAGAAAAATGTCCGATTAAATATAATCGGATAATCCAGTTACATACTAACAAACGGATGTATCCGATTAAATCTGGGTTTTTGCTAAATTAATAGGCATCATCTATTGGTTTCATCGTTAATTTATTGCCCTTGGAGTGAAATCTGTTTAGTGGAAAATTCATTGTTAGATCGTGTAATAGTTGTAAATAATGATTAATTTTTTATGTTGAAAACCTGCTATCTCATAATAGAGGACTTTCCTCTGTATCCAATGAAAAATGTAATTGGTTTTTCAATCAAATTTCACCAGTAACATATATCATCGGATAAATTCTTAAGTTAATCGGCAAACGTAATTGGAAAAATTAACCATCGGAAACCCCATTTAATTGGTTTATCCGAAAAAACTTTAGAAAATTTTTCTCAGTGTAAAAAGGAAATTTGGAAAATTTTGTAACGCGTATCTAGTAATTATTTCCTAATTTTATTTCCTTGTATGTATTTTCTTCAAGGTAACGACCGATCAGATAAATGTTATCTTAATAAAAAGCTGATTGATAAAAAGATGTATACTGTCATCAAGAATTAAAGTTATACAGTTACGATATATATTATAACGATTATTTATATATTTATATATATATATATATATATTCAAACTATAAATTGTATTTGCGAGTTGCGCAAACTCAGATTACCGAAGCGAGTATCTGAGGATGAGTATCACTTTAATGAAGATACGAATCTCGCGTAATTAGATATTGTGGTTGGAGTGGCATTAAGGCGCATCGTACCCCATCAAAGGAGAAATTACAACGTATGGGTTATGACCGCTCGGCGCAAATTTTACAAGAAAGTACGATCTACTACGAAATCGCACGTTAATTTTTGCATTCTGTCTCAAAACAGTTCCGCATTGTCATTCCGCATTGTGGCCCACGCGCAACTGTTAGCTACGCCTAAATATAATAAAGTCTATACGAACACTTCTGCGCGTGCGTAAAAACAAACTCGGGTTATTAAAATCGCATAATTTTTAGGACAAAATGGATGAAGTGGGAATCTCATATCCCGTACGGTACAGCGGTGTACGAAAACAACCTATAATTCCTGACGATGTCCCGTTTCCTTGCAACGTGCGCTACGGCAGGTATGAACTCTACGATTAAAATTAATAACTTTTCAAGTGTAATAAAAAATCAATAATAACTCTCTGTCTATTTCTTTCGCTCTCTTTCCTTCTTCTTCTCGTCTATACCTACGGGTTTTCTATACAGTATCACGTATCTATGTTTTCAGCGTAAATCAAGCTAAAAAATACTACCATTTGAATCTTACATTGTTGACAATAAATACGATTTAGCAGATCATCGCGTTTAATGATAAATAAAACCAAATGTAATTTCAAATAAATGACGAATGATTGAAACTTTTTCTCGTGCAGATCCTCGTCAACACCAGACAATGTTCATCGATTGAGACCGGGTGACATTGACGTGATCGGTGGTCTCGGTGATTCTTTAGTCGCCGGAAGCGGCGCGCTGGAGGAGTTCGCTATAGGAACCTTCATCGAGGCCCGCGGAGTCAGTTGGTGCACCGGGGGTCAAGGAGATTGGAGGCGTTTCTTCACACTTCCCAATGTTTTAAAGGTATGCTCATATATCAGACACGGTCTCAAGGTTTGTCATATTCACGGTCTTTCATCGTGTACAAAAAGAGACTGAAAAAATGTCGCGAAAGTGAACGTTCGCTCTTTATTTTAGCGCGACATTCTGCGTTTCACGCGTGGCGAAACCCTGACACCCTTTGTTATCGCGATGTATCATTGCAGGTGTTTAATCCAAAATTAACAGGATATTCCACCGGGACGGGAGAGTTTATCTCAGCCGCGGCGAGACTGAACATCGCCTTTCCGGTCGCTGCTACGGAGGATGCGTTGCAGCAGGCGAAAATCTTGGTGCAGAGAATTAAAAATGACCCGAGGATAAATGTGAGGAAACACTGGAAGGTAATAATCCTCGAGAATCTGTTCATGGCGACGCACGCTTAAAAATAGCGAGAAACCTTGAAAAACTACTTCACGACTTGAACTAATGTATTTCCTCTGTTAGCTCATTACGATTCTATTTGGGGCAAACGACATCTGTTCAGCGCAATGCTACGATCCGCAACAATTCTCGCCCTTGCGTTATATCCTGCATTTACGAAGGACGCTCGATTTCTTGAGGATCGCACTACCCCGCACGCTAGTCAATCTGGTTCCAGCGATAGGTGATAAAAAATATATAGTTAATATTTTATTTGTAATTTTGTAATTTTATAAAGGCGAAGAGAGAAGCTCATTATTTTTGTAACATTACTATGGTTTTCCAATTCTGATCTTGAAATGTTATATTTATTTTACTTTATTTATTATACTCTCCGCACGTACATTTACCATGTACGTTGAATTTTTCACCCATGTATTTATGTTTACTATTATTTTTCTGTAGATGTCACGGTCTCGGTTAGGGTAACGCGAAGTACTATGTGTAATATATTGCATCCCCTTTACTGCGCCTGCATGCACAAGGGTAGCCGGCCAGAAATCGCAGCGTCGAAAATGTCACAACTCTATCAACAAGCAGCCGAATCTTTAGTATACTCAGGAAGGTATAATTGATATTCAATACCTACGCATTTAAATGTGTTTTACTTATTGTTAATAAGATTAATTTTTAATTTATATCTCGTTAAAATTTATCGTATCTGAGAAAAGTTTTCTTTATTTATGCAATTTTTAAACGACCTACACTCGTTCGTTTAAAAATTACATATTATTAGTTTTAGACTACTGGCGATATTAAATGTATTTGTGAGTTTTTTTATTTAATTTGATGTATTAATTTTTTAAACCGTACTTGCGATATGTTATTATAAATGTGCACAGTCGACATTTCTTATTCGCGTGGGTTACATACCTGACAATAATCGCGAAGATGGAATAGTTAAATGGAATATATTCCAGGAAAATTAAATTAGAGAAAATTTAAGACGAATAAAAGACGAATACTATTTTCTATTTAAAATAATAGAATGTGCAATATTACAGAACGAATATGCTTAATATAAACTTTTATTTTTTTAATTAAAAATCTACCTATTTTGAGTTGCATTTCATATATTAGCGATTTCGGTTGTTCGCACTAGTGCACACTGATTGTGAGTGTTTATAGTTAATTATTATATTTCATCTTAAATACATATTCAAAAAGTATTTAGCTAAAAAACGATCCATATAGATCGCTGTACAGATCATTTTGTTGGCTAAGAAATATTTAAAAAGATATTTAAGGCGATTCTTTAATGTAAAAATTGACTGTGTGCACTCAGTGTTCACTAATGCGAGTAAATAAATTCGCTATATGTTAATCCTAAACATATCGACCGTAAATAGCAAATCCAGGAGAAAGCATCGAGAAAACCATTCACAGTGATATACTCGTAATATAATATAATATATCCATAAACTTATTGTCAGTAAAGGCATTATTACTTTGCTTTATAGATATGATAATTCACCGGACTTCACTGTGGTGTTGCAGCCATTTATTAAGTTATTTAATGCACCCAATGCAGATCCTAATCGTGCTCCGCCGATAGATTCCAGTCTGGTCACATATGACTGTTTCCATTTCAGTCAGAAAGGACATGCACTCGGTAAGGAACGATTAATTTTTATGCTACAATTTTGTTTCCTACTACACATATAAATGCATGTTCTCATGTGAGCGAAAAAAATGACATAAACTTGATAACGTTGCGAATAATGTCTATTAAATGTATAATAATAACTTTACTGCGGCATTTATTGACTGAAAGGCGCCTATTGACGTTGGAAAAAATACCCGAATGTTAAAATGGTTGCACTGTACTAGGCGAGAGACGTGTGTGTATGTACGTGCGTGCGTGTATGCATGCGTAATGTCGTGTGGGTGAGAGAGAGAGAAAGAGAGAGGGGGGGGAAGAGAGAGAGAGAGAGAGAGAGAGAGAGAGAGAGAGAGAGAGAGAGAGAAAGAGAGATTCTACAATAAGTAAAATTGATTAAAAAATTTTACTTCTTTTTACATAATTAAAATTGATCATTTTATTAAGAGTGATTATTGATTGTTATTATTTTATAAATTACAAAAGTTATAAAATTATAATATGGAATAATAATAATTATTAATATAATTCAACTATTATTATTAAAGTTAATAGCAGTACAGGTTGTCAAAAATTGTTAACTTTATACATTATTTGAAGCTTGGCGTTTTTTCTATTTTATGAAAATAAAAAGTTATTAAGATTGATATTAACAACATCACGACATTACGTTTAATTGTTATTTCTTTTATATAATATATTTATAAAGTTTTCAAAAATATATATGGATTTTAATCTCACTTTCTATAAAGATAAATTAACCCTCTTCTAACCTTTAAGTAATTATAGCAATTATTTATTTATGTGCGATAAATCAATACAAGATGATTTACATAAACATAGCATATAAAAATGTGTAACCTGAGAATTTAATATTAATTAAATACAAGTGTAATACTGCAGCCTGTTAACTTTGTCAGAGATACGTTTACATTCATTTATTCGTATTCATAGTAGAAATATGCGAATTATTCAAATACGAATCAAATGAAAGCAAATCGGGTGAATTTAAATTGCTATAATTTGTATTTAGATTATTCAAAAATTTCGAATTCAGTTGATTGGAATAGGAATCATATACCATACATATGTAGATTCTCAGTCTTATAAATCACATTTCCCATTAATAAGCACAACAATACGAACATGTTACCAGGTTTAGTGCATTCAATAATGCGATCGCTCACTGAGCGGCTAATCGTAATGGAATATGATTAGAATTGGATAATGTTATTGGATACTACATTAGAATATTTTGTGATTTTTCGCCTAATGTTTGTTACCGACATAAAATAAAGTTCATTTTATTAGTTTTATATTAAATATTTAAATATTGTTAACTAAGAATTACATTTTATTCGATTCGTGTCGTTGTTCAGATTTGCAAAAGGAAATAAAGTTCGATTTAATTTGATTCGATTCAATATGAAAAATCTTAAATTTATTCATCACTAATGCATATTCACATTGATGATTGCATTCGGTTATTATATCATTATATGAAGACTCTTCCAAGTTAATTTGCCACATATACAACAATTTTATATACAATATATTCGTGCGAAAATCAATCTGTTAGAACAATTATTCGTCGGTTAAGCTAAAAGTATAAAATGAATCATTTGGACAACGCCACGAGCAATAAAATGATCATCAATCCCTTGCAGCTGGCTTGTTGCAAACGCGAGCGCGTGTTCATTAGTAAGCATGGATGGTTAAGAAATATCATTAAACGCCTCGTAGACGGTGTCAACGAGAGTCATGGTGAAAGAGAACGTCATACCAGTCGTTCGTCTTTACACGAAAATAACAGAATAAATAACGCGCCGAGTACTATCGATCTGCTTGAATGATAAATTCGCTTCTGTTACTTATATTTCCAGGCGCTAATCTTTTATGGAACAACATGCTGGAGCCGGTCGGAAATAAAACGGAAAAGGGATTACCCAGAATATTGGACAAGGTGCTCTGTCCCACGGAAAACGCGCCCTACATCTTCACGAACGTTAACTCGCGGGTTTTCCGCATGACTGGCACACAGGATGAAATTGTGCCTAGATATAATAGTATAAGTCTCGGTAACTGATCTTAATTTACCAGGGAGATTATTACGAAAGAATTTGTTTTGTGGATTTATTATGCAAATACTTGTTATCGATTACTCACATTGAAAAGAAAAATCTGCAGGATCAAAATAATACAAATATAATAACAATGTAGTTTTAATGTAAATTAAGAATTTCAATTTGTTGTACATTTGCAATTAGTGTGTCGAATAACTGTTATTTTATTGTACTATTAACAACTAAAAACCTGCTATCCTCATATTAGAATCCTACAGGGTTGGGTATTGTCTAGTTAAAAAGATAAAAGTTAAATTACAAAGTTAAAAAGTTAAATAATTTTAACTTAACTTAGTTACATTATAAATCGTTAACCTTTAACTTAATTTAGTTATATTTTCTCGGCAACTTTTAACTTTTAATTTACCTTTGTTAAAATTAGCCGTGCCATAAACAAAGGCGTCGCGAAACGCCCGCGCCGCGCGCCTGTCTATATTGGCAATTTCTGTGTTCAAAAATTCACTCCCAGTACTGAAAATTTACAGTATACGTTACATGCACTATAGATTTTCAGCGCTGGCGATGAACTTTAGAACACAGCCATTATACGGTACTTTGATTCTCGAACTCACGTGAATTTGTTTGCATATGAAACGGATCATATTTCGTGTAGTGTGATTGGTTGTCCAAACGCTGGTCGTAAAATTCAAAGCAATTTACGTGATTGCGAGTCTCTAAGATTTTGTGTAAAAATAAAACAAATTTAACTTTCAACTTTTTAATTTCTTTTCATTATTAACTTAACTTTTACTTCAATTAATTTCATTATGGGTTAACTTGTATCTTAACTAAGTTAAATTTTTAAAGCTGTTAAATTTAATTTAACTTAGTTAAAAAAAATAGGTAACTTACCCAACCCTAGAATCCTATCTCATAATAGGGGACTTTCCTCTACTCGTTATTGTCTTCGCATATCTTTCGAAAGGATGTAATCGCATAGGATCTGGTGACACTTACATTTCAAGAAAGATTTATAGGCAAATGCAATTTGATGCATAAAGCATTACAACTAATAATGTATTTATGTAAAGTAGATCTCGGAAAAATTTCATAATAAATTAATTTTTTCAAATCTACTAAAAAACTGTTATGTAATCATTTATCCATACAATTCCTTTGTTATTAACATAACTTTTGTACACGGCGTTTTAAGCGCGTTGGAAAGATTTTCGTAAGTACATGCATCGAACTGGAATAATATGAACCTCAATTGCAACGTTTTCCTCCAAATAAGATTCACATTCCTGATGACGCAGATAATTTGCATCATCTTTCTTGTGGAAGGCACATTTTTGGACTGGGACAAGTTTAATGCCTACAGTCTAGACTTTGAACAGAACACCTATTATAGACGGGGTCTAAAGTCCAGCATACATAGCGAAATATCCGGTTAATAATAAATTCCACGGAATGTTGCACTATATGTAGATATGTGTATGCGTCACATCAGGAAGCATCTGATTACACGCCCAAAGGATTACCCCGTATCCCGGATTCAACGTTCGTGCTTTACACTTTGAAAAATATGTCACTGAAATCTGGGCAAACTATAAATTAGAACCTCAGTATTCTGTAAGTATCA